AAAACTGTGCTGAATCCGAAAGTATCTGAACATATGCCAGAACATCTCCAAGAAAAACAGTGCAAGCTTTACACATTAGAGATGCCATGCACTCTCTGGCAATTTAAAATAGCTATCATGCTATCGAAAATGGCCCATGACCACCTGAGAAAAATGGTGATTTTTCGCGGCTATATTAAATTACCAGAAGGTACATAAAAACTCTGCCAATTGCTTTGATCATTCTGATCTGCATCTGATCTTCGGTGGGCCTTCTCATCTGACTTTTTCGGAGATTCCTCCTTGCCATGGGCATGAGGGACTTGCTGAATGCTATTCCACATCGTTGGAGTCAAACATCCTCAATGAAGCGATCAAGGATCTCCCCCGTGATGAAAAAGTAGTATCAAACTATATTTGACAACTGACAATCCAAGAATCTGATGAGTGGCCACAAAATCAAAATCATTCAAAATCCATGCCCCCCAATAAAAACCCAGTGCTCTCAAAGGATCCTTGCTACAAGAGGAATTGATTCCCACTTGTTTCCAACACATATAAATCTTCAATTGCTATCCATGAGATGTCTCAACTGGAACCCCAAATCCCATGGTCTATCATTCTTAATTACAGATCAAATTCTTACAATCAAACACTTGCGAGAATGATCTTGATGCTAATATAATATATAACAATAATAGAGTTATAATTTAATACCTATAATATATATATAATTATATGTATATATACATAAACCTTAATACCAGGAATATCAACCCCGCACGTCTATTCTTTTTGTGCGGAGGGTATAAATTTTAATCCGGGCTTGACATCAGAGTCCTTCGAGCGCTTCGAGTGCTTCGAGCTGCCAGAATAGCTGTCAGAGCCTGGAACCCAAGCTCCAACATGTCAAGACCAAGAGACTTCCAAAAAGATAGGAAAAACACGGAAAAACTACATTTACATACATTTACTTCCATATATAACGAGGGTGTATGATATGAAATCTCCATAAATCTCCCCTTAAAGAACTCGAATGTGATACCCTCTGGTGTCATCAAACATGGCTAGCTGGGACATTTCCTGAACTAAATGAAGGTTTGCATGGTAACATCATTGAACTAAATGGGGGAATGTCCAACAAGCCATGTTTGATGACCGGAGGCAGCCCACCTGATGATGATCGCGACGTTCGCGACCGTCGTCTAGAACGCGTTCTCCGTCGTCTCTTTCTTCTCCGGTGATGGTGTCTCCTGGATGGTTTGTTCAACGAAAGACCTGAGTACAAATTGGGGACATCAAACCATCCAAAGGAAATCCACAGGGAACCATGGAATTTTCCCATGAAACATTGGGGTTTGACAAAAAATATCCATTAAACCAATCCATTGATGTGGGGTTACCCGGATTTACCCGGTTCCCCCTGGGGCGCCCCAGGAAGAACCCCCTCCTGCGATCGCGGCCGTGTCTCCTTCGCCGCCGTCGACTACCTGCCACGATGAAGCGGTCGAGGATGGGTTTGGGGGTTTGGCAACCATCGGCTGAACATTTCATGAGTACATAGAGCTAAATTTATATAAATTATATAATTTCATTTAAATTCTCCATTCTTGAAGGATATTCAGATTCAGTTTATATCGCCCTTTATCTGATTTATTTTGATTTAGATCACCATTTTTCTTGGTTTCCACCCTGCTCGTGTTGGCTGAATTTTCACTTCTAGTTGGTCGGATCCTCATTTCTTGTTCGTTAAATATCTTTATGTTCTGGTTTATACATCATTTTACATCCACACCTTTGGAGAAATGGGGGTTGTGCCGGGGGTTGTCCGAATATTTTTAGTCTTGGTTTGTGATCAGTTTTTCAACATCGCCATATTAGTGCTTCATTCCGTATTTGAAGATACACCCAAATTGGATATAGGTGGTGATATATATCATATATATCCCATAAAAATCTCTGAATTGATGTCCCATGAAATTCCTATCTTATGTCGTCTTCTGTCATTATGGGATATTAATGTCATCAATTAATCCCGAGAACTGTGCCAGCGGCTCGGCTGCGGCTGCTGGCACTTCGGCTACTGCTGCTGCCTTGGGGGTTGGTTAAAGGTGGCAGAAGACCTGGGTCAGAGAAATCATGGTGATCAAACTGATTCTATTATGTATAGTTATGTCTAATGTATTATATATTGTATATGATTATATATGATTGTATGGAATTGTAACTGTACGGAATAATATGAAATATTTATCGCAGCAGGCGAACACCTTCACCGCAACTAAGACACATGTCTCCTTGCTGGCCGCTACTCATCTCAAGCATACCAAGGCGAGCTACTGTAGCTCCCATTTGCTCGCTTCTCCTCCAATCTCATGAAGTCCTGCTGGATGAGTTTCTGATGTTGATTGGTGGTCAAGAGGTGCCAGAAAACGATCAAGTCCACTGTATTCAATATTATACATATAATATACAGTATACATATGCATACTGCATATACATATAATAAGGGAACATAGTTACAAATATGGAAATGTCACCAAAATCATCCAAAATCTGTGGTTTGGACTCCTGGATGCTCTGAACATATTTGAAATATGTTGAAATATGTTCCCCTCCTGAAGTAGGCGTTGCTCATGACGGTGCGGATCGTAGAATCCCTTGCCGTACTTGTCACAGAAGTCCCACCTCGCCAAGCCGTAACAGGTTCCATGGAGACGTCCAGAGATGTCCAGGGGCAGCGCAGGGAGTCCAAGAATGAAACAAGAACAGTTGAGTATACTCAGTGTATATATTATCTAATATATATATATATACATATATATATACATATACATATATATATATACATATATATATATACATATATATATATGTATTAGTGAAGTGATAATAGAACATGTATATATATATATATATATAGAACTCTAAAAGTTCAGCAAGACTTCAGGTAATTCATCAAGCAGCGGCCCCCAGCTCCAATGTCTCCATTTGGAGACCCCAGGGGCCCCCCTGAGGGCCCCTGAGGGCCCCCCTTTTACCACCAGCTCCAACGACTGAGTTCAGCACCACCTTTCTTTGAAACCCTTGGACTCTCGCTGTCCCCGCTTCACCAAGTCGGCCAGGGACTCTTTGGACTTTGGAGAATCGGCTCCTGGGAAAAAAGCCGTGGCCGCCAAAACATGGTCAGTGATGAGTCCCATGTTTACCCGGCCTGGTAAACCTACAAAAAGCGATGGAAAATCACCAGCTTTAATAGGTAAATCAACTATAAATGGGGCCATTTTCAATAGCTATGTTAAATTACCAGAGGGTAAACATGGAAAGATGGGGATGTACCCAAAGAAAAATGGATGAAGATGGATACATTGACTTGCAAGATGAACATCTCAGTCTGAGATTCATAGTTTGTCAGAAATCCTGGTCCAATTTCAGGCCGTGAAATGGATCCCCCCAGCTATCCAATATTCACCATCCTGTGTGGGGCTTGGGCTGCGCTGATTTGGATTCTTGATTCGCTGGTTTGGGAAAGCCCACGCAACTTGAAGGGTTCCCAGTTTTGGAGAAATCATGGACTATTCCACGACAAAATTGTTGACACATGAGTAGCGGACAAAATTATGTGTTAAATATTGTTAAATTTTAGATTGAATGCCATGCACAAATGAGGGTCGTCCCCTATCGGTTGTGAGGATTTCAGTATTCCCGGAGGTATCACACATCGGGTATCGGCATAGGGGCGTCCCCTATCGGTTATGAATGTGTTGTGCAACCTCGGAAAGGCCAAGGCGAAGCAAAGACCAAATTAGTATTACAATAATTTTGTCGGTTACTCACATGTTGAAAACAATCAGAAATGGAGTCAAACCCGCCAGGTTCCTCGCACCTGTTACCTGGATCTCTATGATGTCTATGTTGATCCTTTCTCTACCCAAATGAACCAACGGTCGAGATACGTCCATGTGTCGTCCCAAAAGTGGATACATAAGGGTAAAAACACCATGAAGCTTCTCAGCATCATCTATTCATCTTCTGGCTGAATCAAAATTTAGTACATGATAGACATAACCGACCAGACATTTGGGTGTCCAATACTAACTAAAATTCAGTGTCTCATCATATGATTCATATGTTATCATCATGTTCCCCATTGCGGAGCAAATTTCAGGGGTAACGGGTAACTACAACACCCTGCTTTCAAACACAGTCAACTTGGATAGAGCTGGTTAAATATATGTACATACATACCATTCTATCAATATTCTAATCCCCATTATATAATGTCCCAGTGAAAGCCAATTCTCGTTAAATCCCCATTGGCTCCGTTTTCGGCAGGTCGCTTGGCACCTTCCCTGACAGCGCGGTGAGATCAATTGTCCTTTGAATACCTTTAGTATCCTTTAGGTATCCTTTGGGTATCTTTGGATTGTTATATTTGGGGACCCAAATTTCATAGCCCTTTTGGGTCATCGAAATTCGGGGACCCCGAATTCATAGCCATGGAAGTGCATGCAAAACAAAACAAAAAATGATCGAAATAATTCGAAATATATCGAAATTGTCCATTGCTTCCCTGATTTTGACCCATACCCAGGCAAGTCACTTTTGGAGGGATGTGATCAGTGAATCAACTGGGCTTAGCTGCCGTTCACTCATCCTGGGTTCACTTTGATCGATCTGACCGGGTTTCCGCTGTGACAGAAGGGTGCAGCCAAGCTCAGCCAAGTCTTTTTTGCGCAGGTGCATTAAATAGGAATTGGTCTATGGAATCTAAAAGCCACAAGTTGATGGTTTCTGGACTTAAACTGTTGATGGTGGAGTTTCTGGGCCTTGGATTCAGATCTGAGTGACTTAGAGAATGCAAACACCGGCAGTGAAACTGGAGGCCATGGTCAGCTCGCCCTGTCAGCAAATGGTGCACCAAGAGCATTGAAACGTCTTGAAATCAATCATGTTTTTCATTCATGTTCCGCATTTTCCCCAATTAAATGGCAATAATTGGGGATTCACCGGTTTGGGACAAACCTAGAAACTGCCTTTCAGATTCTTCCACCATCTTCCATCTTCATGACTGGGGAGCACATGCACAGGCCGAGCCAATTTTCGCCCGGCCCTCGGATCTGGGGTCAACCCCGAACAAATTTGGCCGACTCATTGTTCACCTCCAAACTCCTGACAATTGAGATGAAAGAGCAACTGAGGTACCCTAAAGGATCGTCTAAGAGTGAATAAATAGTGTGTGTGTGTATATAATATGTAATACATAATATATGTATACATGTATGATCATGTATTGACAATCATAATCTTAATCATTGGGGGACCCCTTAATCATGACTGGGTTCCAAAGTTCCAAACATGTTTTAATCATCATCTTCTCTACAGAAATTGCCGTTGAGTACAGTATACCCTCTGGTGAACTAACATAGCAATGGAAAATCACCATTCTTAATGGGAAAATCCACTATAAATAGCCATTTTCCATTGCTGTGTTAGTTCACCAGAGGGTAACCCCGTTCTCAAAGACATCGATTTCTTCTCCTCGGGTGGTTCCTCCTCTTCGCCCCCATCCAGGGGAGGACCTGGTGGACCTGTTTGGTGATGTCATGGGGATATGCTGGCTGCTTATAGGATTTCACGGAATGGATTGTAATAATCCCCAATGTATATAATATAATATATTATATATATATACCAATACATACATAATATATATATATTTTATATATAATTATATATATATATACCAATACATACATAATATATATATACACATACATATTGGATAGTATAACCCAGATAATAATCAACCAACATGGTTTTTGAGCACTGCTCATATAATATTTGATATAATGAGAGACAGAACCAACACGATGATGTGGGACAATGATTCGGTTGAAGGGGAACATGGAGGACTCTTACAAAACCAACCATGTCATGGAGGTATAATTCGGTATCATGGGATATAAGACCAACATGGACCAACAATATACATGTATCGCTGTGTCTGAGAATAGCGGAACAAAGTCAGGAGGTTTTTAAAACCAACTGACTTTATGGGGACATCTCAAGGGATCTTTCATGGGATAAGCAACATTATGACTAGTTGGCTGTGTCTGAAAATGGTGTGTGCCCCCCTAAATTGCTTTATTTTTTCTGGGGATAATATGATGATTTACTGATGGATTTAGGGGTCCACATTTTCAGACAAGCCCATACGGTATCATCCGAAAAATGTGGGAGGGCACCAAGACTTACCGGTTTCCCCGAGGAAACAGAATCCCCCAGACCATCCAATAATCAAATCTGGCAATGGAAAATCCTCTGGTTATGGATGATTTTCTCAGGCATAAGCCTCCATTCATAGAGATTTGTACATTAAAACCTCCATTTATAGTTTACTTTCCCCCATATTTTCCTAGGGATTTTGTCCAGGTATTACTTGCATCTCCAGCTGCTTAGTCTCGCGCCGCCGGAGACACGTGCACCAGTGGCCAAACGATCAACTACCTCAGGATGGTGTCAGTTAAAAATGCCATGGGTATTTTGACATTATTTTGTACGTATGCAGATACAGAAATATGATAAAATATGTGTATAGACCAGCAGGTTTTGTATGGTGTTCTTATTTCGAACTTCTGGGTTCCCTGGAGGTGTCATTCCACACTAAGACCACCACATTGGTGATCCGTTTGCGGAGCTTTAAGGTGTCCTTACAGTGGCAATCATCTGTTGGTGATTCAAATCTGGAAGAAAACGTCATCCGCGTGTTCAATAAAGGTTGGCTTCATCTCTTTCCCTATACTCTTAGGGTTTTCCCCCAGACATCCCTCCATCGTGACTTCGACCGAACTCCTGCGGTACCTTCATTGGCGGGGGCAGAGTGTTGCGATCTTTGACACTTCGCGCCTTGGCGTTTGACTCTCCCATACACTACGTCAACCAAGCAGTCCGCCGGAAAAATACATTTGAAAAATGGATTGTGATGATATCCAATTTATTGGATGGCATAATCCCACATCATTACTGTAACCAAAAGGGATTTTGAACACTGCTCACTTGAGGTATTCGACCCCTCTAAATAATCAAAACAGATCTAAATAGCACAAAACAACGGGTTTGCTAGTATTCTTTTGGTAGCCAAAAGTACGCGAGGGCTGTACTCTACCTGGATTTTCCCGGTGTTTTCTGATAGCCAAATTGTGTAAAGGCAATATATGTATATATTTCTATGTGACTGTTCTTCGCTGTAGACAGAAATCCCGCATATATAATCCCTTCCCCCTAATACTAACCCCCCAAATAATAAACACCTCAGGGAGTTTTTATTATTAGGGGATAATTATATATTTATCATTTGGGTTCCCCCTAATATACTAAATTTAAAACCCTGATATAAAAAACTTGTTTTTCTATTTCAAAATCGATTAGAGTTCTTTTTAAAATCCAATTAAAATATTGCCAAAAATTGGATTTCGAAGCTTCCCCCTAATAGTAAATTCAAAACCCTAATATAAAAAACTAGTTTGTTCTCTTTCAAAACCGATTAGATTTCCTTGACATATCTAATTAAAATATTGCCAAAAATTGGATTTCGAAGCTTCCCCCTAGTAGTAAAATTAAAACCCTATAATATAAAAAAACTATTTTGTTCTATTTCAAAATCGATTAGATTTCCTTTTAAAATCTACTTAAAATTTTGCCAAAAATTGGTTTCGAAGATTCCCCCTAATAGTAAATTTGAAACCCTAATATTAAAAAACTATTTTGTTCTATTTCAAAATCGATTAGATTTCCTTTCAAACTCTACTCAAAATATTGCCGAAAATTGGATTTCGAAGCTTCCCCCTCATAGTAAATTTAAAACTCTAATATAAAAATATATTTTGTTCTATTTCAAAATTGACTAGATTTCCTTGACATATCTAATTAAAATATTGCCAAAAATTGGATTTCGAAGATTCCCCCTAATAGTAAATTTAAGACTCTAATATAAAAAACTATTTTGTTCTATTCAAAAATCGATTAGATTTCCTTTTGAAATCTACTTAAAATATTACCAAAAATTGGATTTCGAAGCTTTCCCCTAATCTTAAATTAGAAACCTTAATATAAAATACTTATTTCGACCTTAAAAGACGGACCCTAATAAAAATCACCCCGGGGTCGACTAGTTTTTATTATTAGGGGGTGAAACCCTGAAATGGTAGCTACATGTTTAAATTGTTTTCTAAAGGGGATCAATTAAAAATCAAATTGGCCAACCTCAAATTTTCCAAAATTGGAGACGGACCCTAGTTTTTAATATTTGTGGTGGGTTTAGTAATAGGGGGAAGGGATTATATATATAATATATACAGACAAGCACAAATATGATATCATATGATATTTATCATGTGTACATCTTGGCACAGAAAGTGACGGGGGTCCATCCCTGCAGATAACGTGTTTTTGTTGGCCTACCTCCCAGGTCGCAGGGTTCCACACCAGGGAAGTCCGCAAAAGATGTAGCAGCGACGTGTCTACCTGGGGCAGATTGATAAGTTCCAGCATTGCTTGCACCATATCGCAGCATATGTCCTATCATATCTTTTCAAGAAAACTTACCCTCTGGTAAACTAACATAGCTATTGAAAATGGCCATTTATAGTGAGTTTTCCCATGAAAAATGGTGATTTTCCATAGCTATGTTAGTCATTACCAGAGGGTAACAAAATCTGAACAGCTCTGGATCATTGGAAGCATCCCGTTGATCCAGTCCCCAGGCCCGGTTGGTACCGCCTTCTCCTCCCAGCCCTGATCCGTGGTGTCACAAATCTCGGGCGAAAAATGCCTGCAGCTCTGTGTCGATATGGAATCCATGGCTTTCCCGCTAGATCTCTAACCTGTGGGTCGTCGATTATATACATATATATATATTATATAATATTATATATATATCATATATCTATATCAATTTACTGGATGGGTATAAGTCCCCAATTTCCATTTAAATCACATTGAATCATATCAAATCATGTTAATAAATCCCTATCTTTCATGGTGAGTTCCCGGTTTTTGATTGTTAGATGCCCAAGTTTTTACCAACCTCCCCACGTTCTGACTTCCACCTTTTGAGGATGGTGAAATTCTCATCATCCAGGCCGAATCTGAGCTTCACCAAGAGCAGGACCAGCCTTGGCACGGCAAATCCAAAAGAGTGGAGCCCTGAAAACTGAGCTGGAACCCTCCACCCAAAAAAAAACTTGTTTTTAAAAAGAAGCTTGGAAAACGGCCTAAAGACATTTTCTTGATGGTTGTAGAGTCTACAGAGATGTCCTGAGAGAAGCCGCACCATGCCGCACCCAAGTAACCATCCTGAACATGTTGCAAGAATAGACGATTTATGGGATTGTACCCAATGTTAGGGATGCTGAATTTGAACCCCTAGCTAAATGATGAAGGATGACCCCTGGATAAAATAGGGATTGCTAAGTAGAACTTTCAGAAGGGCAGAACCAACTTATCACCGATGTATCAATTTAAAGTAAGACTGAAACCCAATCGACAAACCCCAATCAGCGCTTGCTAGCTGCAGTGCCAGCACAAACGGAAGGTTCAAGTAAGGCCCGGGCTCAGTTGCTGCCGACAAATGACAGGAGACCTGCCCCGTTTTGTTTCATGCAGCGAGCTGGAGAATCACCATATTTGAGAGGTAAATCAGATACAAATAGGCCAGATGCAATAGCAAACTATTAAATTACCAGAGGGTAATTTCTTGGGTTCTTCAGATTTACAGTACCCTGAAAAAACAATTCTCGGATGTGTTTTTGGAAAACCACATGAGTGATTGAACGTCCCAGTCTCTATCATCTATTCATACGAGCTTCCATTCCTTCAAGGTACTGCAAATAGCAGGGTAAACCGACCCGCCTTGTGGGGATGGGTCAAAGTTACCAGTTGAATAGTCTGGTTACTACCATAGGTGATCCATGGCTGTCAGAGCGCACCGTTCTTAGAGCTTGCTCTACATCATCAATACCGTCAGTCAGCAGAATCGTCTGCTCGAAGGTGAGGTTCAGCCTTGACTTGTCTCCATGTTGACAGATGAAGAAAAAAAACAAAGTCGGTTTCAGAAAGACTTAGAAAAAAAACGAAATTACTTAAAAATATCTTTGTTCAGAAAATCATGCACTAGTAACTAGTAAGCTAAATTCTGAGCGCTTCACAAAGTGTCCAGGTGATTCAAAGGCGATGGATTTCGATCCTTGAATCTCACAAGCCTCAAACCACAAAGTCATGTCTGCTGAGCTGTTGCCATCTGTTGACTACTTGCTGGCTCCACAGAAGTGGGTGGAATGTCCAGAACTTGCTTGCTTTCAGGCAAACATGACAGCAAAAAAAAAATCTTTAACGGCAAAATTATCCGTGTTATATATATATATACGTCGTGTATATTCACACACGCAACGTATATTACATATGTACATATTATGAATGTATATGTTATATATATTATATTGCATACATAATGTGTATATATATACACTATGATTATATAATATGTGTGAATCGATCAAAACTGATCGCGCTGCTGATCATCTTTGAATCCCGAAATGGCAGATCTCAGCCAGGCACAGGCGCTTCTGAATGACCCGGTACTGCTGAGTTCGATCGGCCAAGTCCTGCTGAGAGTTCCACTCAAATGCCAGGGCTAAATCACAGCGTCTTTCCAGGAATTACCCATCCATCTACTACATAGTCATATTGTAATTTAATACGTATACATAGAGCACCCATCTTCATAGTTGGTCCCTCAAGTTGACGTGTTGTAATTGCTGGTGATATTAACCTGGACCCGTACAATGACACATGTTTCCATGTTCATGTTCAAAAACGAAAACAAGCTAGCTGTAGCTAGCTTAGAAAGTTACTGTAGCTGATGTTGCTGATGTATCCATATGGTGGTTTCCTACAGAGAGCCAACAAGAACCCTAAGATCAGTTTCTTTGGCAGGGTAAAACATGGTAAAAACCGATGGTTTAGGGGTACCAGTTCTAGGAAAGAACCAACCTCAAACGTTAGGTGACCTGGGGATGATCCCCTTTACTAACTAATGTTTGTAGATGTTTGTAGTATATAAGGTTGCAGTGAGGTCGCAACATCATGTAGCCAAATATATCATGATTTTTGAAACGTATCCCGATCTCACCAATTTTGATTATTAAATCCCCGTCTCTCATTAGTTTCCCATCCCCAAACAATCTCTCCATGACAGGATTCCCCTCGGGTTCCTTTCTTAGCTCGTCCAAATGCCTTCGCAATTCGAAGTGGTCATCGATCAACGCGAAGTAGTCGTGCCTCTGCGGGGCGTGGCGCGGTTGGTTTCGCAGGTTGCGGTTGGGGCGGTCCTAGCGTTGCCATGGGGATTTTACAGGGAAATGAGCCATGAATCATTGGAAGATAAACCATAAGTGGGATATCTACGGTCAACAATTGGGATGTTAAGCATCAATCATTGGTATATCAACCAACAATAATTAATTCGGAACTCGACCAAACACAAATTAGATTCAGATATTAACCAAATTTAACCAAGAAGAGTGAGGATATGTCCCAATAATATGAAATGAAGCAGCAACGATATTTAATAGATTGGTCTCATAAGGGTGGATACCCTATTTTATTGTGTTTTTTGATGGGGAAAACGATGACCAACCGTACGAGTACGAGTATGTCTACCGCGTACACCGTATACCCAACTAGTAAAAACCAACCAACCGCAAGCCGCAGCTCACGCTCAAAATGGCGAGCAAAACAGGATGACATCTGGGAACGTCCACCCACTCAGTTCTTGGCTGCGTTTTGTCTTCAAATGTCTTCAATCCATCCCAAAAATGATTTGTCTTCCTCAAGAATTATGGATGGAACATTTTGGAAGTCTATCAATTCACCACAAAGAAAAGGTGGGAGATATATCTTTGACCCGAGCCCCCAAGGACGTCACTTGCATGTAGCCACCCGTGCAAAAGCCATCGCAAATCTCGGGCCCCCAAAGGGCCCCGACAACGGGAGACTGTCCTGAAAGGTGATGAAGAAGGGTTCCTGCTGCAAGTTGTTCCGTTCAACTCGCTTGACAGCCCAAAATAAGGCATCCCAAGAATATACAGCAGACCTGATTTCAGGCATAGTACAGGAAACTCATCTATAAGTGGGTTTTTGCATGTTTTTGCATGTTTTAGTCTGATTTCAAACCCAACATCTCATGGTTCATCGATGAATGCTCCAATATTATATTCCAGGAACATATCCACATGTTCTGAGACTTACCCATCTGGGTTGAAACACGTTCACATCCCGGAACCCTCCAACCAACGGACTATTTTCTGATCACTTTCAGACACGTTCAGCATCAAACACTCCAACTTTCTAGTGTCTACCTTGCCGCTCCACCAGTGACCCCAAAAGTGGCATGGTTTGCCAAGGCTGAAATGACCAATCTGTCGTCGACGCTGCCTCGCCATCAGGAACAGCACCTGGCATACTTGTCAATCATGCAGATAAAAAATGAATGATGTTTAGCATGATTATGGGCAATGCAAAATGTTTAAAGTATAGTAAAGTTGATCCCCACTGCTTCATATACTAACTATTATATATAAATAATATTTTGTCTCATGACTGCGGGTAAAAAATAAGTGCCCGCCCTTTTTTTCGGATGGTACGGGATGGTAGTAATCAACATGGCGTCCACCATGACGCGCCTTCGCCTCCGGGACCAAAGTATTCATGAAGTTTGTTGCACAACTCCTGGACGTACAGAAGGCCGAGCTATCCAGCTACGATTTGGGTTGTAGGATTTGCCTGTGGAATTGGGGTGAAATAATTGTTAACTTAAAGGAGAAGGTTCTCATTCCAGCCCAAGCTCCCCAAAGCTCCCTAAGCCACCCCCCCCTTGGACCCCCCCCCTTAAGAATCCTATTAAAATACAGTGAAATACCATTCTATACAGACCACGTGCAATGATTACTGGCTAGACACACTTGCGGCAAAACGAGGCGAAACGTGTTCTTTTGCAAGAACACAAGACTCATGTCAATCGGCACAAGGAAGCCTTTGTGGGCAGAGCGAAAAAAAAAAACATGAAATCCAACAAAACATCACGAGACGACCTCAGAAAGCTCATAGGAAATCAAGAACCCACCATGAAATCAAAGAACTGTCTATAGAAAAACAGCAGACAATTAAAAGAACCATCCACAACGGAGTCCATGTCATGTGCCACGGATTTTCTCTCCACGACCACGCCTAACCCTTATATTAAGTTGGCTTTCTAACCCTTATGCTGCAAATTCATTACCATTACACGCATGCTTTTCTAACCCCATGGGAAATCTAACCCTTAAAAAAACTATGTTAAGGCCAAAATTTGGATGTTAAGGCCAAAATTTGGATGATAAGGCCAAAATTTGGATGTTAAGGCCAAAATTTGGATGTTAAGGCCAAAATTTGGATGTTAAGGCCAAAATTTGGATGTTAAGGCCAAAATTTGGATGTTAAGGCCAAAATTTGGATGTTAAGGCCAAAATTTGGATGTTAATGCCAAAATCCGCCGACCCCGGCCTTGGCCAAGGCAGGGGCGGCGCCTGGGACCACCGCAGGTGTGGAACTTCTCCTTCTTCGCTTTCCAAGGTCAAACCCATCTCGCAGCCAGGAAGCTGCCCCAAGGCCACATCGCGTAAACATTTTCCTGGCATGCTTCGTCCTCCATTAAGACTTCCAGGCATTTGGACATGAAAATTACATGCTTTGGGCAAGTAAGTTTTACTCCGGAAGGTTTTGTCTGAAGGTTTTGTCTTTCAAGCCCAAAGCAGCCGTTCCCGCATTCCTGTAGTAGCAGTTCAAATCATTGACCACGCTTACAACTTAAAACGCTTAAAACCCTTAAAACGGTGACTTGGCATGAACAGGCACCCCAAGGCCACACATCAATGGCTTCTTATGGGCCGCTTAAACAATCCCTTGGCATGCTTCATCCTGCAGCCAACAGGCACCCCAAGGCCACACATCAATGGCTTCTTATGGGCGTCCAAGCCTGCCGTTTGCCAGCCCTTAAACCCTTAAAACCCTCCAAACCCTCCAAACGCTCCAAACCCTCCAAACCCTTAAAAACCTTAAAACCCTTCAACCGCTGACTTGGCATGCTTCATCCTGCAGCCAACAGGCACCCCGAGGCCACACATCAATGGCTTCTTCTGGGCCGCTTAAATAATCCCTTGGCATGCTTCATCCTGCAGCCAACAGGCACCCCAAGGCCACACATCAATGGCTTCTTCTGGGCCGCTTAAACAATCCCTTGGCCCATCTCGCAGTCAGCAAGCTGCCCCAAGGCCACATCGCGTAAACATTTTCCTGGCATGCTTCGTCCTCCATTAGGACTTCCAAGCATTTGGACATGAAAATTACATGCTTTGGGCAAGTACGTTTTCCTCCGGAAAGGTCTTGTCTGAAGGTTTTGTCTTTCAAGGCTCCTTCTTCGCTTTCCAAGGTCAAACCCATCTCGCAGCCAGCCAGCCGGCGCAAGGCCACATCGCGTAAACATTTTCCTGGCATGCTTCGTCCTCCATTAAGACTTCCAGGCATTTGGACATGAAAATTACATGCTTTGGGCAAGTAAGTTTTACTCCGGAAGGTTTTGTCTGAAGGTTTTGTCTTTCAAGCCCAAAGCAGCCGCTCCCGCATTCCTGTAGTAGCAGTTCAAATCATTGACCACGCTTACAACTTAAAACGCTTAAAACCCTTAAAACGGTGACTTGGCATGAACAGGCACCCCAAGGCCACACATCAATGGCTTCTTATGGGCCGCTTAAACAATCCCTTGGCATGCTTCATCCTGCAGCCAACAGGCACCCCAAGGCCACACATCAATGGCTTCTTATGGGCGTCCAAGCCTGCCGTTTGCCAGCCCTTAAACCCTTAAAACCCTCCAAACCCTCCAAACGCTCCAAACCCTCCAAACCCTTAAAAACCTTAAAACCCTTAAAACGCTGACTTGGCATGCTTCATCCTGCAGCCAACAGCCACCCCGAGGCCACACATCAATGGCTTCTTATGGGCCGCTTAAACAATCCCTTGGCATGCTTCATCCTGCAGCCAACAGGCACCCCAAGGCCACACATCAATGGCTTCTTATGGGCGTCCAAGCCTGCCGTTTGCCAGCCCTTAAACCCTCCAAACCCTCCAAACCCTCCAAACTCTTAAAAACCTGAAAACCATTAAAACGCTGACTTGGCATGCTTCATCCTGCAGCCAACAGCCACCCCGAGGCCACACATCAATGGCTTCTTCTGGGCCGCTTAAACAATCCCTTGGCATGCTTCATCCTGCAGCCAACAGGCACCCCAAGGCCACACATCAATGGCTTCTTATGGGCGTCCAAGCCTGCCGTTTGCCAGCCCTTAAACCCTTAAAACCCTCCAAACCCTCCAAACCCTTAAAAACCTTAAAACCCTTAAAACGCTGACTTGGCATGCTTCATCCTGCAGCCAACAGCCACCCCGAGGCCACACATCAATTGCTTCTTCTGGGCCGCTTAAACAATCCCTTGGCATGCTTCATCCTGCAGCCAACAGGCACCCCAAGGCCACACATCAATGGCTTCTTATGGGCGTCCAAGCCTGCCCGTTTGCCAGCCCTTAAACCCTCCAAACCGCTCCAAACCCTTGAAAACCTTAAAACTCTTAAAACGCTGACCAAACCCTCCAAAAACCCTTAAAAACCTTAAAACGCTGACTTGGCATGCTTCATCCTGCAGCCAACAGCCACCCCGAGGCCACACATCAATGGCTTCTTCTGGGCCGCTTAAACAATCCCTTGGCATGCTTCATCCTGCAGCGAACAGGCACCCCAAGGCCACACATCAATGGCTTCTTATGGGCGTCCAAGCCTGCCGTTTGCCAGCCCTTAAACCCTTAAAACCCTCCAAACCCTCCAAACCCTTAAAAACCTTAAAACCCTTAAAACGCTGACTTGGCATGAACAGGCACCCCAAGCCCACACATCAATGGCTTCTTATGGGCCGCTTAAACAATCCCTTGGCATGCTTCATCCTGCAGACAACAGGCACCCCAAGGCCACACATCAATGGCTTCTTATGGGCGTCCAAGCCTGCCGTTTGCCAGCCCTTAAACCCTTAAAACTCTCCAAACCCTTAAAAACATTAAAACCCTTAAAACGCTGACTTGGCATGAACAGGCACCCCAAGCCCACACATCAATGGCTTCTTATGGGCCGCTTAAACAATCCCTTGGCATGCTTCATCCTGCAGCCAACCGGCACCCCAAGGCCACACATCAATGGCTTCTTATGGGCGTCCAAGCCTGCCGTTTGCCAGCCCTTAAACCCTTAAAAACCCTCCAAACCGTCCAAACCCTCCAAACCCTTAAAAACCTTAAAACCCTTAAAACGCTGACTTGGCATGCTTCATCCTGCAGTCAACAGCCACCCCGAGGCCACACATCAATGGCTTCTTATGGGCCGCTTAAACAATCCCTTGGCATGCTTCATCCTGCAGCCAACCGGCACCCCAAGGCCACACATCAATGGCTTCTTATGGGCGTCCAAGCCTGCCGTTTGCCAGCCCTTCAACCCTTAAAACTCTCCAAACCCTCAAACCCTCCAAACCCTTGAAAACCTTAAAACCCTTAAAACGCTGACTTCGCATGCTTCATCCTGCAGCCAACAGCCACCCCGAGGGCACACATCAATGGCTTCTTATGGGCCGCTTAAACAATCCCTTGGCATGCTTCATCCTGCAGCCACCAGGCACAACCGTGGCTGGCGCAATGTCTTGCTTGCAATGGTGACCAAGTCTGTAACCACTGCTGGAATTGCCCCATTCCCCGGGGAAGCATCAGCAAAGCAGTACAGCGGGTAGCTGCAACGCAGGCGAAAGTCGCGAGGACGGCAGCGGAAGAAAAAGCGGCACGCGCCCTTGCCGATGTCTGGGATGCCATCGCGAAACGAAAACGCAACAGAGAAAAGGAGAGCTCCCAAATGAAGGACGCAGAGCCGAAGGCAAAACATCCCAAACAAGAGAACCGAACAGAAACGAGCAAAGACGGGCCTGAAGATGTACGTGGCCAACGGGGAGACAGCGACGGAAGGCAGAGGGCGGTGCGGGCGACGACTGATGTCGCGGCTGCCAGCGTGGAACGAAAAAGGAAAACAGAACAGGACACCGCCCAAATGCAGCAAGCCCCGCCAGACGCAAAGCAACGTAGCGAAGACGGCGGAACAGAAAGAAGCACCGACAGGCAGGCAGAAATGAGCTGCAAGCAGCAGAGCAAGGGCAGTGCGACGGAGACGTCGGGGGAAGGCAAGAGTTTCCAATATGTTTGTCCCGCTTGCCACAAGTCTGTGAGGAGCAGTATACGCACGGGCCAAGTAGATCACCGGCGTGCATGTGGTAACCGTTTCCAGGTGTGGGATGCGCAGGTCGTTGCGAAAGGATATGTGTATATTTGCCCTGCTTGCAAAAGGAATGTGTCTAGTGACGTCAAGACAGGGCAAATAGACCATCGAACGGTCTGTGGGAAGCAGTTTTCTGTCAAGGACGGCGTTGTGCAGGAAAAAGCGTATGTTTACATTTGCCCCGCTTGCAAAGGGAATGTAGCCAGTGACGTCAAGACAGGGAAAATAGACCATCGAATTGTCTGTGGGAACCAGTTTTCAGTCAAGGACGGCGTTGTGCAGGAAAAAGCGTATGTTTACATTTGCCCCGCTTGCAAAGGGAATGTGGCCAGTGACGT